GGGTTCTTTTTAGCTATATGCTGTTTGTTATCCCTAAAAGATTGATAGCAGGACTTTCTTGGGGCCTAGGAGGAAGGTATATGTATTAATTACTGTGTTGGAGCCAACAGATGGCATAGTGGTTAAAGGCATTGGACTTCCACATGGCCATTCGCAGTTCAAGTCCTGAACATGGTAGCTTGCTTTCTCACTTTCCCTCTCTCTCTGTCTAATCAAACTGGAAAATAATAATAATAATAATAATAGTGATAAATAATATAATAATAATTTTTTAATTAAAAAACCTTATTGTGTTATTAAACAGAAATACCTGAGACTTGGTGTTTATAAAGAACAGAAGTTTAACTGGCTCGTGAGTCTGATGGCAAGAATGTCTAAGAGCATTAACCATCTCCTAATGCTAAGATACGGTATGGCCAAGAGAAGCAGGCTGGTCAGCAGCCACATGTGGAGAGAGGAAGGGAGAAAGAGGAAATAGTCTTTCCCACTTTCTCTGTTCCACCTGTGCTCCTAGCCAATTGGATGGTACCCACTCACATCAAAAGTGAGTCCTCTCTCAGTCCACTAACTCACATAAAAGGCAGGTCTTCTCACTTCCTAATGTCATTATACTAGAGATTAGATTCCAAAACATGAACCTTTGGGGGGGGGGGTAAAACCTTTTCCAAATAAAGGAAGTGTCCTTATCCAAACTATAGCAGTGTAGCCACACAGCAATGATTTATATTTGCTTTTGTAAATTACCTAGAAGTGCTACCAAGCAGGTTAACCTTAAATTATATTCACAGCTCTAAGTGTTCTGTGACCACCTGTAAATCCCTGTGAGGTACAGTTTATAGAAACAAATGATTGATTTATGGTAATTAATTACTATAATAATTCTCCTTCCATAGAAACACACATGTAGAGGCTTGTGGTCAGTATTAAGAAAACTTTTTTCTCTTTTTCAAGGAATAAGGCACTTTACTTCTTGTTCACCTTCTCAGATGGTAAAGAAGTTTCTAGTTCCAGCAGTATTGTGATGAGGAAGTGGGCAAAGGAGATGATTCCTATTATAATTATTCTTAATTTTGGATGAACCCTGGGCTTTGTTTTGTATTTTCCTCATATTGGTCAACACTGAAAAAATCTCAACCCCAGTTCCCCTGGTACAGCAAATGCTTTCAAGACAGCAGCAATTTCGAGTCATTTATCTTTTTAGGTTCCTTAGCTTTACCAGGTTTTCCTATTTTTGAATCTTTTCAAATTATTTTTTAGAGAGTTCTTTTTGTGTTTTTCGTTTGTTTGTTTTGTTTTGATTTTTTTTTTTTTTTTGCTATAGGGCACTTGCACTCACCAGAGAGACAGAGAAAGAGAGACAGAAAGCAAGAAATCATTCCCTAGGGTGGATGGCCACGCCACAGTCCCTTCTCCTCCATTCTCCTCTTGGGATTTTGGGCATGCACACACACATGCCCAGCATGAATTTCAAGCCTCCAGGTCTGGTACTTGAACCATGGTTGACCATGTGAGAATCTAGCAATGTAACCACTACACCATCTGCTGGTCCCTCATGATTTTTTTTGTAAGTATTTTACCCATTTTACCCAGTATGTTTAGTTGGTTTCTGCAAGAAAATGTTCAAAAGATAGCCTAATCTGTTTTATTATTGGAGATTGATTGCTCTACTTCTTTCTTTTATTTACTTAAAAAATAAAGAGAAACTTAATTTCAAACTACCTAGTTTTTGATAAGTATTTCAGGCATTGGAGGCTAGACAATGGTGTAGTGGTAACACAATTATCTGTGAGGCTGACCCACATGGAGAGGTTCTGGGTTCACATCCAGAGCCCTCCTTGAACACACCAGGTGTGTGTATGTTCATGACATGGGGTCTGGGAGGGACTGGGGTGGATTGTGGTATGGGGGCCTTAATAGGAGGGCCTGTCTCTCCTTTTCTCTCCCACTTATGGGAAGGAGGAATCAGTGGGCTTTGAGTGAAAAAAAAGTCAAGCATATCATCAAAGCCCAGATATGGAAGTATCCACTGAGAAATGTCGCAGTTTAGCAGGCTGAAGTCATATGGGACGCTTGGATTTAGTTCTAGCTCACTCTAAAAGCTGAGTGCACCCATAGTCCTAACTCCTTATGAGACTTAGGCAGGAGGATTATAGCAAGACCCTGCCCCCCCCCAAAAAAAAAAAACTTTAGCAAATTCCCTTATTTTTCAATTTTTTTGTGTGCATACAAATGTATTACTTATGAATAGTAAAATATTTTTTAAATTAAATGTTTCATCTTTTCTTATTTACATAGGGCTAACTTCAGTGCTTAGAGTCTGAGAAAAATGACAAATATGGATAATGATTCTAGGCATCTTATTGCTGAAGTAGACGATGAAGTAAATCCTGGACCTCTGAATATTCAGTTTGATTCATCAGATCTAAGATCCAAACGGTATGTGTTTAAATATAATTGGAGTTTTTAATTACTGAAATAGGACTAATTGTAACCAAATGTGTGTAGGTTTGATTATAACATTTCAAGGCATTGGAGGCTAGACAATGGTGTAGTGGTAACACAATTATCTGTGAGGCTGACCCACATGGAGAGGTTCTGGGTTCACATCCAGATTTGTATGTATGCATGGGAGAAGAGAAATATGAATACTGTTTCATTTACGTTTGCCTTTTTTTGTGTAACTAAACATCTCAGGAGGAGTTGGGATAAGTTTTACAAAGTGAGATGCATTCATATTCACTTAACAAATAAGTGTCGATTACCTGCTTTGTTTAAGGTAATATGCTGGGTACTAGAGACAGAACAATAAAAGTAGTAGTAGAAGCAGTGTAAGATAACTTCATTGAGCTTAAGTGCCACCAGACAATTTAAGATTATTTGAATTTAAATATTATTTCATCATATCCCTGGAAAACCTAAAAGAATCCACTGAAAAACTATAAATAATAGGAGAATTCAGTAAAGTATTTGCTTTCAAAATGAGTAAAAATAGCCTTCCCATGAGAAAATGTAACAAAAGGATAACATACATAAAAGTAGTTTTAACAAGAATGCACAGTCTATGTGAGAGAAACTCATAAAATACTTCTGATAGGCATAAACTAAGATTTAGAGTATTTCATCAAATCTGAGATACTACTGGTTATAAATTGCATTGTTTTATAAAAAATGTAGCACTGGGTCCAGCACATGACGTAATGGTTACATCACTGGACTCGCATGTTGTCAACCGTGGCACAAGTCCCAGTCCCAGTGGCTTAAAACTCATGCCAGATGTGTGTACGTGCATTCCCAAAATCCTGAGAAGAGAATGGAGGAAAAAATCACCCCTTGGGAATGATTTTTCACTTTCTGTCTCTCTGTCTCTCTGGTGAGGACACACACCTTATAGCAAAAAAACCTCTTTCAAGAAAAAAAAAAAGCAGCACTACAACTGCTGCCAATACCTCTGATGCAATACTCTCTTAGGACTTAAAGTTTTTGTTTTGTGTTTACTGAGAGAACTCTTGGATTTTTTTTGTTATTTTATATATCTCCTGTGCAATTTTAAAAATGAAAATATAAACAAAGTATATCACTGTATCATTAGTATGTTACTGATACAGGGCCACCCCAGTGGTGTGGTGGTTAAGGCAGCTAGATCCCACAAGACCAACTGTCCAGTTGGAATCCTGGACCTAGCAGCCTGGAAAGCATGTAGGGTGCATGTACGTGCATGGCCCAAATCCCTGCAGGGTGGAGAAATGGAGAAGTGATTGCCACATGACCACACCCCATTGGATCCCTCTCTGTCTCTGTCTTTCTGGCAAGTGCATATATCCTCTGACAAATTTAAAACTATATAGTACTAACATATAGAATATGATTCTTCTGTATCATTGGGGTTTTTTTTGAGAGGTTTTTCGCTATAGGACATGTGTGCTCGCCAGAAAGACAGAGACAGAGAGATAGAAAGTGAGAAGTCACCCCCCCAGGGGGGGATGGCCATGCCACAATCCTTTCTCCTCCATTCTCCTCTCGGGATCCTGGGCATGCATGCACACGTGCCTGGCGTGAGTTTAAGCCACCGGGTCCGGGACTTGAACCGCAGTCGACTACATGGGAGTCCAGCGACATAGCCATTACGTTAACTGCTGGTCCCTGTATCATTTTTTTGACCTGGATGCATCAAAATACTTTTTTCCCCTTGCAGAATTGGCCCTTTTGCCAATAAGAATATCAATGCAGAAATTAAATGTTGATGCTTGCACTTTTCTGATCTTCCCAGAAGGTGTCACATAAGATTTTCTAACAACGACATGACTCATATGTCCTCCTCAGGAATTAATATCATATTGCCACCTAGCTGACAATGATTAAAAGGTGTTGTAGGTTATGAGATGTATCTTTATTTTAAAGTATTTAACTGTGTATATTAAAATCAGTAAAATATCATGTAATAAAATAGCTTAGATTCTAAAGGTGGCATGCATTTTAATTTTAACTCATAAATTGGCAGCAGCCAATTCTAGAGTTTATATGGACTAGCAATTTCATGTCTAAGCATTCATTTTCAATGTCAAATGTTATATGTACAAGGTTATTTAGTGTAGTGTTTTTATAATGAAGTATTTTTATAATAACAAAGATTGAAATTAACCACAATTTCACTTCTGACCGGACTGGATAAATATATTCTGATACACATTGATACAATAGAATATTTTTCATTTATCAAAAGAAGGAGGAGGGGAGGCTGGACCTGTAGCTTAGTGGTTAGTGGTTAAAGAAGCAGGATACACATGCCAACCTTGGTTTGAATCCTGGTCTGGTAGCATATTTTTTAAGCCACTAGGACCAAGATTCAAACCATGTTTGGTCATGTGGGATCCAGCTTCCTTAACCACTGTGCTTTGGGACCAGCCCCAGGGTTTTCTTAAAACCTCTAAATTCTATGATAAATAATTGACCACTGTGACAATAGAACATCGGTCATTAGTACATTCCATTACAATAAGTTGTCAGGAGTTCATACAGTTCTTTGAAAATTTGTTCAACTGGGTTTATTAAATGCAAATATACTTTTTATAATGAACTTGTCAAAATGAGAGGGAATCAACTATTTATAATCATGGCATAACTACCTTGGTAAGCATGTTTTAAGGAAAGCCAATATTTATAGGGACTTAGCAGTACTGAATGCTATTTTTCTTACGAAATGATTTTTGTTTAAGAACATCAACTATTTGGTGAGAAAGAATGTGAGTACCTTAAAATGTTGTTTCTGCTAAAATATGGATCACTTCACTTTATATGCACAAATAAAACTCAGACACACTGAGGGGAAAATATTTACCATTAGAAGAGCCAGTTTAGACAACTAATTCCAAAGCTTCAGTCATTTTAGAATCACGTTATTACTTTGGTGATATTCCAGTGCTACCTATGTAATGTAATGTAATACTTTTAAAAGGTCTGTTTTTTTGTTTTTTAAATAAGGTGTTAATTTATCCTCATCACGTATTTGTGAAATAATGGTTTTACAGTGTTATACTTTTTTGTAAAATGCATTGCTGTAAATATACCAACTAGTTAAAATAGCATTCATCCTTGTGCTACCTAAAACCATCCTACATATCACCACCCTTTGACAAACTGTCCTTGACTGTCAGACTAAAGAAAATATTTGAAATTTTTTATTCCTTATCCTGTTTAATTTGTGGTTTCCTATCTCTTCCACTAGGTGGCAGTCAAAATTATATATTAGTTCAAATGTAAGCATTTTCATAACTGCTTCAAACTGCAAGATAATATGGTGTATGCTGGCTCTTTTTATCATTTTGAAAGAACTGGGGTATTACTAAATGTTGGTGGAGGAAGGAGCTTGCCATTTTAGGGGAAGGATACATGTTATAATCATTTGAATGATTAGGGGAACTTTTTCAATCTCAAAGGTCCACTTTTGCTCTGCATACCTCCCCTTCCCCATCAACTTTTCACTTGGTCTGGGGTGAAGTGAGAAATGTGGGTGGAAAGAGAGAAAGGTGTAGAAGTTTCCTATATTGTATTTGATATATTCCATTGGCAATGAGTAGTCTAAGAGATTGTTTTCCTGCTTTTCCTAGACTTTCTGGAAACCAAAAATAGAACTGGTATTCAGGACCCCTTCATATTCTGCTGCTGCTCTGGGACTGTGCCTTGAGGGAGTCGATCATCTCAACCAGCCTATGCCCAAATTGTGAAGTGGTTCATTTGTTTTTGAACCTTCCTTCTTTTTCAGCCTTCCTCTATCTCTGGTTCCTCTTTTTCTTTTTTTTCCAGGGCCTAGAACTTTTGTGTCTTTCTTCTCTTGCTCTGTTATCCAGGGCAGGAATTCACTCAGGCTTAACCCCCTAGGCAGTGATTTGTAAATCATACTTTCTTTTCCTGTCTCTTACTCACCAGTACTTAAATCTGTCCTGTTCTTGTAGGGTTCTGTTGTCAGCTTGGTATTATTGTAGAAAATAATCTCAGGCCACCAGGTGGCATGGTGTTTAAGGCACTTTACTCCCAGGTAGTCGACCTTGGTTGGGTCCTAGACCCAGCAGTTTGAAACTCATGCTGGGCGTGTATGTGTGTGTGTGTGTGTGTGTGTGTGTGTGTATGTATGTATGCCCAAAATTCTGAGGGGATAGTGGAGAAGGAATTGTTCTGTGACCATTCCCCCCCAGGGGGGTAATTTCTTGCTTTCTGTCTCTCTGCCTCTGTCTCTCTCGTCTCCCTAGCAAGTGCATGCCCTCTATGGCAGGAAAAAATAAATAAATAAAAGTCACTCTCAAAAGAGAAAAAAGAAAATCTCATATGTCCAAGACTTATCTATTATCTTTCCATGGCTACGTGCATTTAAACATGGAGAATTCTGGAAATATAAAACACTAACCTAAAGGTTCAAGATCTCTCTAATTGATAAAATTTCAAGTGCTCTGATAAGCAAACTGGGCAGAGGTGCATGTCTATAAAAGGCAGCCTTCCTAGTGCCTGTCAAACATGCTAGGACACCTTCTATTTAAAAATATCTACTAGTCTGTATATCTATAAACCTGCATCTCTGTTTCACTTGTCACTAATGCTGTCACTGTAGAGTAGCATGAATTGACTCTTTTTGGTACTTGTGGTCCTAGGAGAGAGGGGAAGACAGGAGGTTTACTAAGGCAAAAGGGGATTTATCTATTAATAGGTAAGGATAGATCCTGGCCAAAGGACAGAGGTTAGAAGTGAATACTGAGGTCTGGTGGTTTCATATTTGGAGGTTATCCAGATGTACAATAAAAGAAAATTTTTCCCACAAGGGCTGGTTTCCAGCTCTGTATATACTGTAGTTTGAGGAACTTGTTGTCAGTGTTAAGTAAATGAACTAGTACTTTGCCCATTTATCAGTGGTGTGGTAATGAGGACCAGCCTGCTGAGTGATACTGCTTCTGCACTCTTCCTGCTTCTCCCTTCCTTTTGCCTAGCTCCTTTCCCCTTCTCCCCCTGGGCCCACTTCCTTTTTTTTTGAGAATTTTTTTGCTATAGGGTGCCTGCGTTCACCAGAAAGACAGAGACAGAGAGACAGAAAGCGAGAAGTCACCCCCCAGGGGGGATGGCCACGCCATAATCCCTTCTCCTCCATTCTCCTCTCGGGATCTTGGGCACACATGCACATGCGCCCGGCGTGAGGTTAAGCCACCGGATCTGGGATGCGAACTGTGGCCAACTACGTGGGAATCCAGCAACATAGCCATTACGCTAACTGCTGATCCCCCCTACATACCCCCCTACTTCTCTCACTTCTCTGCTCTCCTACTTTTCACTGTCATTTTTCCACCAAGGGAACTTTCTTTTTTGCTACATCCTTACAGAGGGCAAACCTAGCCCTGGAGTTAAGAAATGTCTTAAATCTGAATATTGACTTTTTTAGACTGGGATCTTATTTCTAGTTCCATCAAAATCCTTTTATTCTCTTGAATTCTTACATACACTTTCCTTCTTTCTAGATATCTTTGGTTAACTTCCCTCTCGTATTCATATCTGCTTTCCTAAGTTGTTTCTTTTTCTTTCCCAGATCTATCTGATTTTATTGTTAACTTGCCTGGAATCTAGATAGCCTTTTTTGCCTTCTTTCCTCTCTTCCTCATTAAACCTATTTGGAGGAGCCTGAAGAAAGAGTAATCCTGATTAGGTTTGACTAGTGCTCTTTTGTTTGCTCCTTTAAGAGGCTTTTGCCTTAGGGCTCCTGTGCTTGCCAGAGAGAGCAACAAAGACAGTAAGAAGGAAAGCAAGAAACCACCCCACTAGGCGGAATGGCCATCCTGCAATCCCTTCTCCATTCTTCTCCTAGGATCTTGGACACACACACACACACACACACACACACACACACACACACAAAACACCTGGTGTGAGTTTGAAGCCACCAGGTCCAGGACTCAAATCAAGGTCGGCTATGTGGGAGTCCAGTGATGTAACTGCTATACCATCTGCTGGCCTGACATGTTCTTTAGGGCAAAGTCAAAGCTGTTTTGTTGGGAGGAAATGGTATCAAGGGCTGAGATGGCATCTTATTTATTCACTGTTATTTCCAAATATGTATTTAGTCAAGAGAGTTTTAACGTTAGCTGTACTATAGAAACCATAAGAGCAATTGCAAATGTATAATTAGGAATTTGAGGTGTCTTTGAACAAGTTGACTTGAAAAAAAGTATTGTTAAATTAACAGAAGCATATGAAATGCAACAGTGTTGTTAGAGTCTAGTGGCTGATTGTAGCTCAATGGTAAGGGATTGATGTTGTAAAAATAACATCCTGAAATGATGTATTTTTAACTTATCTGTTATTTTTAAAGTTTTATCCAAAATTATTCCTGAAAGTCTATCACATGACTTTTCCATGGCCTCTTTTCTTAATACAGTACTGTATTTCTTCTTTTGATCTATTCTCTATTTCTGTTTTGTTTTGTTTTGTTTTTTGGAGAGGTTTTTGCTATAGGGCGCATGTGCTCGCCAGAGAGAGAGAGACAGAGAGACAGAAAGCGAGAAATCATCCCCCGGGGGGATGGCCATGCTGCAATCCCTTCTCCTCCGTTCTCCTCTCGGGATCTTGGGCATGCACGCACACGCGCCCGGCGTGAGTTTTAAGCCACCGGGTCCGGGACGCGAACCGCAGTTGACTATGTGGGAGTTCAGCAACATAGCTATTACGCTAACTGCTGGCCCCTATTCTCTATTTCTTTATTATAAGATATGGCTGCCAGGGAACCAGCAGTTAGCGTAATAGCTATGTCGCTGGACTCCCACGTAGTTGACCGCGGTTCGCGTCCCGGACCCGGTGGCTTAAAGCTCACGCCGGGCGCGTGTGCGTGCATGCCCAAGATCTCGAGAGGAGAACGGAAGAGAAGGGATTGCGGTGTGACCATCCCCCCTGGGGGGTGATTTCTTGCTTTCTATCTCTCTGTCTCTCTCTGTCTTTCTCTCTCTGTCTGCCTCTCTCTGGTGAATACATGTGCACTATAGCAAACAAAATAATAAATAAATAAATAATTTTTAAAACGATGACTGCCAAGGTCTTTTTTTTAGTGCTTTTGTTTTTTGTTTGTTTTTGGACTGAAGTGTGTGCACGCATTAGAGAGAGAGAGAAAGTGAGAAATCCCCCTGGGGGATAGTCATGCTTCAGTCCCTTCTCCATTCTTCTCGGGTTTTGGACATGCACACACATAGGCCTGGCATGTTTTTCAAGCCACTGGGTCTAGGACTTGAACTACACAGTCAGCTATGTGGGAGCCAGCCACCTTAACCATCACACCACCAGCTTAAGCATTAGAAGGTTAATTAAAATCTCAACATCTCAAGTTAGGAAATATGTTTTCTATAAAATAATATAGGGAATTACTTTGTTGTTGTACTTGTAAAAAGGCCTGGCTCTTCTTTTTTTTGGAGAGGTTTTTGCTATAGGGCGTGTGTGCTCACCAGAAAGACAGAGACAGAAAGTGAGAAATCACCCCCCAGGGGGGATAGCCATGCCTTCTCCTCCCTTCTCCTCTCAGGATCTTGGTCATACTCGCACACGCGCCCAGTGTGAGTTTAAGCCACCGAGTCCAAGACTCGAACCACGGTTGACTACATGGGAGTTCA